ATGCGGGACGTTTTTGTAGGTTGCGAAAAGCATCTCTGAGACGTAAAAAATTGTTGAACGGAGTTAAAAATTACACCCCTAACGATCATTGGGTTGTATTTCGTAGAACAACGTAGGTAAAAAGCGTCCCAAACAAACCCTTAGACTTAAATAAACTTTCCTCTTTCGTCCTAATTCAGCCCTCTTTCCTAATGTATTTCCCTTTTCTATTTGAATTTCAATTAGGAAAGAATTTCCTAATTGATCCTCTCCTAACATAATAATTTAATTCCGTGCTAGGACCTACCAACTCACCCAACTTCCCCTCCCTGTCCACCAACCTCTCCTTGGCCAAAAACTATTGGACCAGCCGGTCTTGTGGTTCCCGGTCCGCCCGATGCTGGATCTTGCAGCTTTCGTCGTATCCGATCAACTCTTTGAGGAATGAGACTAGCAACGTGGGTGTCTCAAGCTTTCATCATTAGGTCCCTCATACGTGATCAAAGTTTCATTAGGGTCCTTGACCCAACTGAACTGCTAATTTTCGGCAAGGCCAATTATCAGTCAATAGGTCTTTATACCATTGTTAAACTACCAATTATTGTTTCCTTTGACCACAACTGCTGGTCTCCCATCCCTCATCATTGATGAGACGGGTAATGTTTCCTGAAGGTGAAAACCCAAATGAATTTGGATCAAATTTGGGGTATCCATTGAGACAAACTAATTACAATTGCTACTCTTCCATCCCCGGTCCCCAATCATTAACAGTGACCAATGGGACTTGTAACATCTCCTGAAGGTGATGACCCAAATGAACTAGGATCAAATTTGGGATGCCCATTGATAAAAAATCACAAACTCAAGTTACATAGATATAAGTTAACCTTATATCAGTATCCACTATCCATATAGACAAAACATGCATATTGTTCTTTCACTTTAGAATCGTGCAGCAATTTGTGTTGGAGCGTGAAGGCATTGCATTGAACATAAAAGGCAAAAATATATGGTAAATAGAAATGAAGTTTGAAGAGTGAAAGAATAGCACCTGGGAACTGAGAGAAGGATTAGTAGGAAATCAGGAGAGCATCAGTCTTTCTATTCAGTAAGATTCCAATAGAACCTGTTCAAACTTCTGCATTGCTAAACTCTCTCACATGCACGCCAAAATAAAATCCTTCCATCTCAACAAGAAAACAAATGCAACAATATGAAGCCCTAGCGATCTTCATGTTTATTCATCGGATGCATCAATCATTTTTAAATTTGATTAGTTTTAGTTTTTACTTCATTATTATTTTTTCAATTTGGTATTTATGCTACGTTAGCATGAACAAATGAGGATGGGAATAATTCTCTATTTGATTCTTTAATGCTAGGCTGTTTTATGTAGTTTTTCATGTAGTAATCAGATTAACCTACAATATCTAAAAGTGAATATGAGTCTACAAAAGATCTAGTTCTCCCAATGAAGTGAAAAAGCCTTTGTGCATTCTTAATTCTACAGTAGTTTTAAAAAGAGAATAAGGAAAGAGGGTGTATATGCCTTAATAGCTATTGTATTGAATGATGTCGTACTTGGGATCGTGACCTTTCTTGATTATATTACACAATTGCTAGATTTTTTTTCAAGATATTTGTCTTCATTAACTTTGTAATGAATTACCATCACTTAGGTATGTACAACATCCCATTGATTTGGTTCTTAGATCATTATTGCCTAATTTGCATTATTATAAGATGAATCCAATTGAACTTTCTAAGCTTAAGTGACCAGTTGATGATTTGCTTAAAAATGGGTTTATTAGAAAAGTTACTGACTCCTTAATTTGCCCTAGCTTTGCTTATACCTATAAAGATGGGACGTGGCTTATTTGTTTGGATAGTAGAGCATCACTAAAATCACCATTAAATATAGGATTTTCTATATATTGTTTGGATGATATGTTGGGCATGATGAATGATGTTGTGATCTTTTTTGTAATTGATTCAAGGATTGGATAAGAGTGAAAAATTGCTTTTAAGATAAAAATGGATTATATGAGAGGAAAGTGACACCTTTTGGATTAACCAATGCATTTTGTATTTTCATGATGATAATGAATCATATCTTGTGATCTTTTGTTTGAAAATTTCTTGTTGTTTAATTGATTATATTTTAACTTTTAATAAGGTACGAGATGATCACTTGATGCATTTTTGGGAAGTATTTGAGGTTTTGCAATTTGAAAACTGATATTGGAATCTAAATCTTTTTGCTTTGTGACACCATATGCAATCTTTGTAGCATTTATTGTCTCTAGTGATGGATTTCTTGCTAATAACATTAAAGAAATTATTTATTGACGAATACCTAGTAATACATGGCTCCAATTGCTAGCTATCTTAAGGGAAAAAAAGTTTAAATGAATTAAAGTTATCGTACTTTTACAAAATTAAGGAAAAACTTACAAATGCACATGTGCTTAAATTACTTAGTTTTAATTAGGTGTTTTTAGTTTTTTGTTATGCATCTGCTGCTTCTATTAAAGGGGGTGTTAAGTCAGTAGCTGATGCAAACTTTGAAATGTTGTCGTTACTTGCTTTCAATAGTTTTGCGTAATTGTTTAGTGAGATTGTAGAATCATCATCTATCTTCCTATCTTCTGGTATTGTAGCAATGATTGCCTTCCAACTAATGCTCTGGGATTGTAGGCTATAGCAATCAACAACTTTCCTTTGGTGATTTTTTTTTGTTTTTTTGGTGTGGATTGTATCATTTAACTTTTTTAATATAGCACATAGGTGGATCCTTCCTTCTGTTGCTTTCCGTAAATTTCCTTCTGCGATCTTTGTTTCTGCTATATGTGATAAGTGACGATTTCCCTCTGCCCATATGCTGGAATTTAGAATTCATGTGCTAATATCTGTGAAAACTATTACATTTGATAAGATCTTTTTATATTTTGAAAAGTTACCTTCTTTGGATTTCTTAGGGTTATAATAAAACCTGTGGCATGCAAATATGAATGAACATTGAGTATTGATGAAAATTTTCAAATTGTCTCAATTATTACATGCGTGTAGTTGGCTGTTTATTCCTCAAGTGCTTCATAGATCTTGAGTGTCTCCTTGTGCCTTTGTGGGGCTTGAATTTTCCTTTTGGGTGATTTTTATTCTTGTTCTCATTATTTTTTCGTGGCTACTGTGTGCGTAGTTGAAGTTTTGTGAATTGGTGATTCTTTCATAATATGAATCTTAATTGTTGCTAAAGTTTATATTATTTCACTATTTTTCTTGAAAAATTTCAGATTCTGAAGACTAGTGTAGTATTATTTGGAAGAAAAGCAATATTTTTGTTGTTTTTCCCATAAATATGACTAATTCCTGCTAAATTAAGAGTTGGTAACATGTGGATTATGTTTTTGTGTTTTATTGGGCATTTCATCTTAGGTTGTATTGGTGAAATCAAATTGATATCATAGATTCTGGTTGTCTCGTCATGGTAACTAAAAGTTGGACATAATACTTAAATCAATTAAAAAAACTTATATGGGATTTAAACAAAAATGGGTAATTCATGGATCTAAACAAACACGACATCAATTTTATGAGAAAAGAAATTATATGCATACATTTGATGTGAAGAATAATATCAAGGAATTTCCAAGTTTGATCAATAATTTGGAATACTTTTTTGAATATTATATTCTATATGATTTTGAAAGGCTTGAATGTGCTAAGTCTAAACTCATAGTGTGCTCAATTGTTTTGGCAAATATTGCATGTTAACGAAAGCCAACATTAGTTGATTTAAAATATAAACTTAGAGGATGATATTTGTCGTTTAGAAATTTGAAGGTCGGTTGAATAATCACTTTAAAGGGTTGTATAAACAATAATTCTTGTGAATGTATGATAGATGGACAGATCATATGATAAAGTGATTTTTTGTGAGATGCTCTTGTTATCATTGTGTTTTGTTAGAGGTGTTAGATGAAAGATTAGTGCCAACTTAAGCTACAATTTACTAAGAGCCTCTAACGAGTCATTAACCAAATGTCTGAATATTGAAGAGTACTATGAACGATTTGTTAGTAATAGCACACCCAATTAAAATCTCTATAGAGAAATCTTTATCTTCTCCTCTCAGACCTGCCAAACATACATGAACTCAAAAAGCATGCATGGTCAAAGCTGACCTTATTGAAGAACTTACTGCTCATGAACATCCTTTTATGAAGAATTTAATTGCAGAATTATAATTACATTTGGATTCTTTGATGCTGCGGAGTTGTTTGAATATGCTATACCTACATTGGCAAATATTCTTTACTCCATGAACATCCTTTTATGAAGAATTTAATTGCAGAATTATGATTACATTTGGATTCTTCAATGTTGTGGAGTTGTTTGAATATGCTACACCTACATTGGCACAAATTCTTGACTCCACATCCGAACAAAAGTTGATTCCTAAATTTGAAATTGATTTTGAGTTTGTGCTGAACTTTGCAGTTCAAATCATATTTGAACCTAAAATACTGCCCAAAGTTGAGCTAGATTGTGTTTTTGGAACTACAATAAAAATTAAGTCAATTCTTAACTCTGAACCTAATTTTCTAAATGAAACTCTTGAATTTAAACCTAAATTTTTAATAGAATTTGATTTCATTCTTGACAATGACTTGAGTTTCTCATTAAAACTCTTAAAGATGATCCTGGGTTTGTAAAGATATTAAATCTTTTCCTAAATATGTACCTGAACAAATCATGCCTGGGGTTACAATTTCAATTCCTTGATGACTTAGTGAATTGACCATTTATGTATGTGGTCACAAGTTTATTCAGATAATTACATGAAGCGGACTGGCCTTTATAATTATATTTTCTTTATTTTAGTACTCTTGTTAGGAGGAAGAACTTTCAGTTTGGTGTGCTGTACGCAAATATCAACCCAAAACTTCTTTGAGTTGCTACATGCTGTTAAAGAGATGTTAACTTTTTGTTTGTGATTGGTCTCTTTTCATTGTGTACAGATTATTTGGAACTCTCTGACTCGGGCCGAGCTTCTTAAATTTGTAGATGATCAGCGTGCCAATCAAGGCCCCGATGGTTCCTATGATCTGACTGAATTACATTCCTTTTCTTATCAAGCACTTTCTAAAGAGCTACATGTTGGTAATGTGTATCTGAGGGTGTATAATAATCAACCAGATTATGAAATAAGTGAAGCGGAGACCTTTTGTGTTGCTCTTCTTAAATTTGTATCAGATCTGGTGCATAACTTGAGTCATTTAGGCTCTTATATTCCAAAGAAGACTGATCCTAATAATGCACTTAATGAGCCATCAAATGTTCAGCATGGGCAAAACAATGAGGAAGCTTCTATTGATGGCTTCCTCTCCTCCAGTATAGAGGATAAAAACAAGGAGGAAGATGAACTAGTGAAAAACCTTAGAGTTGGATTGATTGCTCTTCAGGTATATCAATTTTATTGAAATTCTTGTGATGATTTACAGGTTTACTTATTGTTTTTTTTTTGTATGGCAGAACCTGCTGACAAGCAACCCAAGTCTAGCTGCTGTTTTTTCAATGAAGGAACGACTTGCACCTCTTTTTCAGTGCCTTACTGTTGATTTTTCTGCTGGGAACAGCATACCTCAAATTTGTCTTGCTGTACTTTCACTGTTAACAACACATGCTCCTTGCTTGGAGGCTATGGTTGCCGAGAGGGAAAACCTTATCCTTCTTTTGCAGTTGCTACACAGCAGTCCTGCATGCAGGGATGGAGCTCTTGCTGTACTTTATTCTTTAGCGGGCACCCCACAGCTGGCTTGGGCTGTAGCTAAACATGGCGGAGTGGTCTATTTTCTGGAACTTATCTTACCTTTACAAGGTGAAACAATCCTATTGAATGTTCTTTACATTTTTTTACTAACGTGATAAAATGAAAGGGAAATCATTGGTTTATGGTTAAAAATTTGATAGGATGGTTGACATGAATTATTGAAGTAACAAAAAGTTCAATAATGATGGCACTGGTCTTTCAATAATGTCTAGAATCAGCCCCACTCTGCTTGCATCCCTATAAGCCCCCAAGTTGATTCATATGGAATTCGATCACTCACCACTGCTATTTTATCCCATTTATATTCTGCTTTTTTTATTAGTTGACTCCTATATTTTCTAGATGCAGAGTAAATCTCCTGGCCTTTTCATACCACTCTATATAGGTCGACACTATACTTTTCTTTTGTTATCTAGTAGCCATTTAGGACAGATTGAAAAACCAATTAATATTCAGTACTTTTGAGTTTCATACAAAACTGTATAGCAATGCTAGGATATTCCACCTCTTGCCCCCACAACACCACAGCCAATATGTTGGAATGATAGATAAATTCCATCCTTGCAGAAGAAATTCCTTTGCCACAGAGAGCGGCGGCGGCTTCATTATTGGGCAAACTTGTTGGTCAGCCAATGCATGGACCTAGGGTGGCTATAACTTTAGCAAGGTTTCTACCAGATGGTTTGGTTTCGGTTATTAGGGATGGACCTGGTGAGGCTGTGATTGCCTCACTTGAACAGACAACAGAAACTCCTGAACTTGTTTGGACACCTGCTATGGCTGCTTCTCTTTCAGCACAGTTATCAACAATGGCAGCTGATCTATACAGAGAACAGATGAAAGGGAGCGTTGTTGACTGGGATATAACTGAGCAAGCATCCGGTCCACATGTAATGAAAGATGAGCCACAGGTAGACTTCAATTTAGTCTGGGTTTCTTATTGCTGCTGCAAATAAATATGTTGTTTCTTGGCGGTTCTTTGACTTGCATTCTAATTCAGGTTGGAGGCATTTACGTTAGACTTTTCTTAAAGGATCCCAAGTTTCCTTTGAGAAATCCCAAACGATTTTTGGAAGGACTGTTAGATCAATATGTTTCATCAATTGCTGCTACACATTATGAAACACAAGCTGTTGATCCTGAGCTTCCTTTGCTTCTATCTGCTGCATTGGTCTCCCTGCTACGGGTTCATCCAACTCTAGCAGATCACGTTGGTTATCTTGGCTATGTTCCAAAACTTGTTACTGCTATGGCGTATGAAGGAAGGCGAGAAGTGATGACATCTGGGGAAGGGAAAACTGGAAGTGAAGATGGACAATCAGAGCCAAGTGAACAGACCGCACAAGGACGTGTGCGTCTAAGTTGTTTGCGTGTACTGCATCAATTGGCATCTAGCACAACATGTGCAGAAGCTATGGCAGCGACAAGTGCAGGAACTCCGCAGGTATTAAACCTGTGCTCTGCAACCAACTCTCTAACCTGGTCTGTTAGTTCATACCATGTTTTTCTTGCATAATTTATGAAAGGTTTCTATGCTCATGTTTAAACATATTTATAAAGACCATAAAAAATAGATATTTATTTACATTGCTCTAAATTTGCTATCCTATCATTTTATTGCAGTGCATACAAAAGATAAAATTTTGTAATTTCTGTCCATATAATATTCTATGTTTTCTGATATAAATGCGTGTAATATTTATATATCATGAAGCTTTGAACTTTTTTTTTTTTTTGAGCACGACTTGACAATGTTTGGCAACTTATTCAGGTTTTCTTATGTTATGTTGCGTCTGAACTGTTTGCTACATCCGAACTTCACTGAAATTATTAATCCTTGTTCTCCTGTTACTATTTTGTTAGCCATTTTACTGAATTTCTAATACTTAGTACCTCAGAGCACTAGCAATTTAATAAGACTCTTACCTATGATTATGTCTTCGTTCTCTTCATTGTTTTCAGGTTGTACCTTTACTCATGAAAGCAATAGGGTGGCAAGGTGGCAGTATACTTGCACTAGAGACTCTAAAACGTGTTGTTGTTGCAGGAAATCGAGCAAGAGATGCATTAGTTGCCCAAGGGTTGAAGTATGCTTCTATTTGAGTTTTATTATTAGTATTGCATTTGTTTCTTATTTAAAGTATTACTTTTTTTATAAAGATTTCCAAAATAAACTTTTAGATACCACTTAAATCATAAAAATTGATTTTTTGGGCGGATTGGTGGCCGAACAAGATACTATTTGATTCCTTGAACATTATAGGTGGTAAGAGATGACCAGAAGTTATGATCAATCATAGTTTTTTATTCATTTGGGTAAATATAAGTCTCAACCATGTTAGATGCAATGCATGTGCTATTATGTCATTTTGTTTGGATCCAGTCTCTATGAATTGAAATTTTATTCAAATCTTGAATGGTTTTTGAGTTTGTGTTTTGTTTTTAGTTTCATAATTAATTTTAGAGTGTTTTTGAATTTTTACCGTGCCTATATTTTATTAGTTTCATAATTAATTTTAGAATGTTTTGGAATTTGTACCGTGCTTTTATTTCAAATTCCTTTCTTGTAATAGTGAATTCCTTTGCAACATATTGTAGACTGTGGGTTACCAAGACATTAAAAAACACTTGTTTGTAATCACAAATTTTATCCTCTATATTAATTTAGTTCTATATTTTCCAATACTGCTAGTATAGTCCTCTACCTTTTATAAATTATTCAAAAACTCTCTTTCACGACTTCACAGTGAAATGTTCTTTTATGAATGAGTTTTGGCTCTTGGTGCACCATATGAAGCCCTAGCAGTGAAATATGATTTTTATAAACAAACAATCCGTTCCACACCTTCCACTGGGCAAACCACTCTTAAGATCTTCTTAAGTTGGCATTACTACTAAGTGGCTAGTCTCGTTCCAGTGGTGGCATCATTGAGGGCATTATGTAGTAGTGTTTAATCAATGCTTGTAAACCAGCACACGGACTGGCTTGCTAGTTTCCTCCAAATCATCTTCTTATCTCACCATGCTAGCTTCGACTTTAGCTATGCTGTTTGATTTGAAGGGGATCAATGTCATTCGCCTCAACTCCATTTTTGGGGATGAGATTATGCTGTTTGATTTGCATCTATTTTAAGATTGTCTTGACTAAGGATGGAAAGCTTCGTATTTGTACTTGTCGGAAGCTTAGAGAAAATAAAAAATAAATTCTAATTTAATTTATTTCAATTTTTATTTTATTTTATAATATTTCAATTTTAGTTATTTCTAGGAAATAGAATGTGTCTAATTTAACTGTAGAAGCATCAACTATAGGTGCGAATATGATGGACCATGAGTAACTTAAAAAGAGAGAGAGAGAGAGAAACAAAGATTTATGCGGTTGGATGATGTCCGCATTCATTCACAATCTTACAAAGATCAAAATATTCCACTAAACAACAAGAGAGATTACATGGAAGATTTTTTAATGTATTGTGAGATGTGTAAAGTTTACCAATTTGATGAAGACCAAAAAAAAAGAACAAATCTCCTTGCCGCCTTGGTATGGCTGCTACGAATCAATAAATAAAACATGCAACCACATTTTATTGTGTTGAAGAATTAAGCATCCATTTGGCCAACCCATCTTATGGTATCAAAGTGTTGTTCCAAATGTTTCTTATTTGCATTTGAGCTTCTTTAGTTGGGTAAATCCTGATATTCTTCTCTGTAGCAACACACCCGACCTCCTTTCTCCCGCTTCACCTGAAATCCCTACTTTTTCTCGAATATTTTCCTTTTTTTGTTGTGAATGGCTGCTTTGGCATGGGAAGCAATTTAAGATATCAATATATAATATATATATAAGTTTCTTATCTCTGAACAATCACACCAGAGGAATACAAAGAAAAAATATAACAGCATATGAATCTCGCGAGTGAATCCTTGCTCCTAATCATGAATCCTCAAAGATTGTGCAGCCTAGCGCGCAGTCGGCCGTACTTCCCCGGAATCCTGCGACGACACGTCCCTTTTTCACGTCTATAAAATGAAAGGGAACCTTCACTCTTCCGACTGGCTCTTCGCCTGCTCTTCGGCTCCACGAACAAATCTTCAACCGCCTCATCCAACCTCTATTTCTTCCAAACACCGAAGCCTTCCCGATTTCCTCCCTTGCTTTCCCTCAACCCTGTGCCTAGCGCAACGCTCCGTCGACTTCATTATCCAATCCTTCCAGGCCGACGCTAGATTTCCCCATTCTCATACGCCTTGTCTTGTCCGAATGCCCATACAAGACCTTCGATCGAATCCCGTATCTCTGACATATCTCCGACTAAATCGCTTAGCCTATTCGCAATGTTGTCGAATCCACATTAAAAGGAAGAAAGGAGAGACAAAGAACGATGAGCAAGAAGAGAGAGAGAGAGAAGCATAAACCCCCTACCTGTAGAGCCGAAACCCAATCCGTGGAGCTTCCGACCCCTAGCGTCTTCCCTCTCGCTCTCTGTTTCGATCCAACGAAGCCCGTCGCTGCTGTAGCTCACCCGAAGTCATTCAACCTTCATCCATCTTAAAACCATACTCTAAACCAATGTTTTAAATATTGCGTTATTCGTGGTATTGAGGCGGTTTTTCATGTGAACGAGGTGTGAAAGCGTAGCGTTGGGTAAGCCTCAAGGAGTTTAAAAGGATTAGTTATTTTTTTTAATACTAATGATTTGTGTAATAATAATATTAAAACGCTGAAAAAAGCATAAATATTGATAGTGAAATCAAAATATCCCATAATAATAGACAACAGAAATGTAGTCAACTTCAAAATTCTATCTTTCAAAATTCCATAATATTGTATTACATATAATTCAATATTTCCATAAAATAAATAGCCAATGACCATATCACAAAGAAGTCTCATAGAGTCATCAGCACTTTCATCTTACTAAGGGTTCTTTTCATTCTATTTGAATCATCATTATTGAATGATACAAGGCTCTCTTCCCCTTCCTCCTCTTCTATAGACTCCAATGTCGGGCATTTTACTCAAAAATTATGTGAGATTTAATATATTCTTATATAGTACTCAGTTGAGGCCGAGGCGGCCAAGCGGCCTCAACCAAATTGAGGCGCAAGCCTCATAAAAAAGACTGATGTCGTAAGCCATCGAGGCCGTTTTTTACTTGGAATATGCTACAAAGGCCAGGGAGCTCATATTGCGCTTAATTTTAACCATTGCCTGTAACCAAAACTTTCATCTTTCGCACCGACTTCCCTTGTCCGATCGAAAAGCAGGGACGAGATTTCGCTTGGTGTGAAAGGTAACTTTCTCCCTGTTATGCAATATTCGGCCAAATCCCGTAACTTGCCAATCAGAGAGTGATGGAGAGATGAGTTATTAAGTTTAATAAAATTAATTTCAATTATAATTATTATAATTAATTATAATGGTATTATAATTAATTATAATTTATTTTAATTAAAATAATTATAATTAATATTAATTAATTTAATTAAAATTAATCTTAATTAATTATAACCCTTTTTATTATTAATTTATTAAAGTTAATTAATATTAATTAGTTCTAATTAATTAAAGTTAAATATAATTTATTATTCTAATTATAATTAATTACTTTAACTAATTATAATTAACTATAAATAAACATAATTAATTAAAGATAAGTATAATTAATAATTAATTATAAAAAAATCCTTCATATGCCTCGATCTACATGTCAACCCCGCGAAGGTACGAATTTTACTAAACTCAGATTCTCGTTCTCGAAGTTCGCGGTGCATCGGAAAACCTCCCGTACACGCCTTTATTGCGGGTGGTGGGATGGGACCCAGGTGCGACGCGTACGACGAGTCGAGTAATCAATTAAAGCCCTACTTCAATGTTCGTGGCGCACTGAAAAATCACCCATACACGCATTTATTGCGCGTGATGGGATGAGATCCCGGTGCGGCACCTACGATGAGGCGGGTAATCACCTAAAGCCTTACTTCAATGTTCATGGCGCACCGGAAAATCGCCTATACACGCTTTTATTGCGCGTGGTGGGATGAGACCTCGGTGCGGCACCCACGGCGAGGCGGGGTCACTCATAAGTACCTCCGAGCGGGGGGAAAGAAAATTGCATTTTCAAACAGGTACCCTCGAAGACCCCATACATGCCTTTATTGCGCGTGGTGGGAAGGAAGATCACGGCCGCGGTGTCCTCGTCCGAGGACACCTACCATACACGCCTTTATTGCGCGTGGTGGGAAGACCCATTTTCTCGTAGTTTTCCCCTAAAAGGGGGAGACGTCGGGAGGTTGCCGAAATTTCGGGTGAACACGGGACGGTACTTGGACTTGAATTCTACAAGACAGCAGGGGACTTGAACTGAACCTTAATGAACTAAGTGCAAACATGAATAAAAGGCTTAATTCAAACTTAAATCAAATTTGATCAAATGATGGACTTGGACTCAAATTGAATTGTGTTTGAACTCAAGTCTAATAAAAAAAAAAAGAATATGATCTTGGATGTCAAACTCAAAACAAACTTGAACAAGATGTGGACTACTTGAACTCAATCTTGGGCTTGGACTCATATTCAAGTAAATTAAAAGAGTTGTGACTCAACTTGGACCTAAGTGAAAATTACAAGGGATCACACTATGACTTGAATTCAAATGAACACTGATAGACCCTTTTAATAATGACTCATGGGAACTAAAATTTCTCTATTTCACTCATATATCATGATCATGAATGAATGGAGAGAATTGAAACAAAGGATATGTGCATTAGATACAGAAAAGGCACAACCATGAAGAATATGAATGCAATGATCCAATGAGCACTTCGACCCCCAATCAAATATATTGATTCCCTTACAAGCAACGAGATCCGACTTGAAGTGAGTTGCCAGCTAAAATCAATTTAAGGAGGCATTAAGCAGTGGAAGTTGACATACAATGGGAGTTGTCTGACTATATGCAAGCACACTTATTTGTTTGCAAACAACAATAATAGAATCTTTGCAAGTGTAATGGGCTTCTTGTCACGGTGAATATACATTCAACATCAGATAGTTCATAGATTTCTATATCAACTCACTTGTGAACAACAATAGCAATTACAACATGTGATGATTACAAAGGCACTCTCATAGTCAAAACCAATCAAGCATTTAGCGAATACATGAATCCCCCACGAGCAAAAGAGTTGGGTAGATGACATATGATGAATCCAAATATACAAGACATAACAAATGATGAATTCAAATAACTACGAAAAGCTCGTGTGCTTATGGGCAAGGCATACAAATGAACACACTAGCTTATTTGCGAATGATAGTTATAGACATGTTATGAGTCTGGCAATTACCCATGAACATATTTAGAAAGAGCACAACAACATATTGTCATCAATGTCAACAAGCATAGTAAGCCCAACAAAGAGTGAAGCCCTTTACAAATGTACGTCGGACAACATACGAATGTTCACAGCACATTCGGTGTACCTACCTTTCATTGTAGCAAAAATACTATAGCACCTCCATGGCCGACATCTGTCTAACATCCACCAAACATACCGACTCCCTACAAGTAAGGGCAGAGGATATGTAGTGAAGTGCAAAAGTCTACAAGGTTGCAAGAGACCCACCCTACACATGACATGTCATCTACAAGCAGAAATGTATAAAAGACTATAACGTGTGCAAGTTCCTATGAGTCGTTGTAGGAAACTTCTTGTATGTACAATGCACTATTTATAAAAAGATATAAAACACTTGCAGTGAATGTAAGTGCCTATGAGCCCAAGCAGGAGATTCTTTAGTACATTATAATCCACCTACAGAAAGCAAAAATTAGTGCACGACAGTTTACCTGTATAAAGCAGCGAACAACTCAATTCAGAAGCTGTTACGCCATGCCACCGGATTCGCAACACTCGTATTAGCTGACAGAAGGCGTATATAAGCTCTTAAATGAAATATTGTGCGCATTCAAATGACAGTTATGCATAACTAAAATATCTGAAATGTCCCCCCACATGCACCGTAATTTGTATACACATAGGTACACAAAAGGGGTAAATGCAATCACAAAACCCACATGGGCACGACAAGCGTGTCGTTGGTATACACGCGACGTCTTGGGATGCTGCGCGGGTTAATAAGTGAATTCAAGTTCGAACCCGATTCTTCTATGCAGATCAATAGGAGTCGACAGGGTTCAAACCTTCAAACAAATACACGGTTGTGGCGACCGGTGTATTTATTTTAATACATTCATATTAGGCCTTCAAGTCCTATAATCAAGAGAATTCACTAATCAAGGCATAAAGCCTACGAAATCCGATCCTTCTAAGTAGGAGTCGACATGGTTTAATTATAAAATGCTCTCAAACACCCGCATGGGTCTCGACGAGCGTGCTATTGGTACACACATGAAGTCTAGGAATGATTCCTGCGCGGGTCAATAAGTGAATTCAAGTTCGAACCTAATCCTTCTATACGGATCAATATAAGCCGACAGGGTTCGAACCATTAAACAAATATACAGTTGTGGTGACCGATATATTTGTTTTAATGCATTCATATTAGGTCCTCAAGGATTATAACAATGAGAATTCACTGATAAAGGCATAAAGCCAATGAAACCAGATCCTCTATCGACAGTTCAACAGAGTTGACAAGGTTCATCCACAAAATACAAATATTTTCAAAAGGAAATAACCTCCTTTTACCCCGATGATGGACGTGTTGAATGTATATCTCAACCGGAGGGGTCTATTCTAAATAATCCAAAATGCCACCCAAATACTCATGAAATCCAAAACTCCACAAAGTCCAAAATCCAAATTCCACAAAAATCTCAAAATCCAAGATATTTAAAATTTAAATTAAATCATCAACCACTTAAAGCAATAGTTTATCGAGGTGCACAAATTCAAATATAACTTCAGTTTACACAGAGCTAAATGCATAGTCGAAAATATCACTAGGATCCATTCTCAAATAATCTCCTGCCAATAAGGATGTGATACGTGTCCTCTAACCGGCGGTTTTACTGCCAAATGGCACTGCAGGATAAAAGGTTATGACCTGGGATCCTATGAACTGAGTGGTTTTGCCGCCAAATGACACCATGAAATACTGGTTATGGCCAGAGTCAATACGCTCCTTAATGGCATCAAATCCTTTAGATATGAATTAATAAGATATGATCGATAGGGCACAAAACCCTCTTTTAGCTAAGGTGGATTCAAATTTGTCCCCTTAGACAAATACCAACTCCAGGTCTACAAGGTACCCTTGGACGAAGCAACCCATGGCTGTCGATAAGGATCCTTCTGTCAGGTTGGGTCGACTACCTCCTCTGACTAAGTAGACCAGGGATCACGATAGCCCGGGATGACGGAACCATGGGATATTGATCGGGTCCATCATCCATTCCCCCATCATCCGCTTTAAGTATAAGATGGTGCCATTTCAAATTATGAAAATATCAAAATCTTTCAAACCTTAAACTTCCAAATCCCAAACCCATGCTACTACTATATGTCAGATAACATGCATTATCTACTTATCTGATCGACGAAGTTCTCTCTCGTTAGTGGGAGGAGTAATTAACTATAGGGGTTTGCGCCTATAGGAAACCAGAACTCATATCATAAAGTCATCGCAAAATGAGAGCGAAATATCTGGGTAGTGTCTTATCTACAAACTCATCTGCCTTCCCAAAATTTACCCCGGAACTTAATCCGTTAAAACTCCCCTGAATAAAGAAAAAACAGACAGCGGGCGGAGGCCAGGGCCGAATTTTCAGAGCCCACAATATATTTATTTATTGCAATTCTCCTAACACACTTTAAAGAAAGAAGATCTCAAATATCTCTTAAATAAATACAAGATTCTCTTATATCATTCCCAGCTGAAAAAAATCCAAAGTAAATCTCAATCAATGATATTGCAATAATGGGAAAAATATATGATATATTGTCAGAGACCTATTTTATTAGAAAAATTTATTCTCTACATATTACCTAATAGTTATTTTGGACATGCCTATGGGTACAGTATGCATTCTCTTTGATTCTTTAATTGCTAGTTTGGAATAAAGAGTCTTAATTGACTTTAGAGAATCCTGAAATTTTCCTAGGTAGCAACATTAGTGAATTTGTCTATTGAGCCTCCTAATGATCTTCATAAGCTTATTGCTACTAGAAAGGGTGTAAGATTTTTCATGCTCAGCATCTGAATTATAACCTTGTTTCCTATAAAGGATCGTCTTCCAGCTTTAAGCTTTTAGTACCACTATGACAAATTTATAGATCCTAAATAACTTGTATCTTAGATCTACCCAAGTGGAAGACCTCTATTATGAACAAATCAAAGCACTAGAGAAGTATAAAACTTTTGAAATCTTAGATCTATTTGAATAGAAAAGACTACTTTGATACAAGTGGTTTTTCGATATCAAACACAATGCAGATGGCAATGAACAGGTTGAAGGCTCGAGTTGTTGCAAATGGGCCAATGCTTGGAATTGATTACGGAGAGGTTTGACTTGGTAGCCAAACTTAACTCAATCAAAGTTATGTTATCACTAGTTGGAAATATTAATTGGCCATTGTATCAACTTGCTCTGAAGAATGTTTTCCTAAATAGTGGCTTCCAGGAAGAGGTTTATATGAAAAATCATTGAAGTTTTAAGATTTAGGAAAATATACTACGAGCTTCGAGAGTCCTTGTTTGACCTGAAATAACCTCAACATGATGGTTTGATAGACCTACAAAAGTGGTGAAAATATTTGGGTTTGTTTAGTGTCAATTAGCTCACACATTTTGCCAATTTCTCTATCAAAAGGATGATGAATATTTTGTTCGAACTGGAGTGATCTAGAAGCAATGAATATATTGAGGGCCATTTTACTTCGAGTTTGCATAGGGGCATTGAATCCATCAAAGTTATCCTCGATAGAGACATGGAGGTACACCTTGATGACTACTCGATAGGTTGAATTGAACCAAGTTTGTTTTTGCTCCTTTTAGCCTCCTACAAAAGTAGTGGCAAGTGTTGTTTAATCTTATGTATAGTGGCTTTGCACATTCATTGTTGTTTAGTCTTATCTATAGCGGCTTTCCACATTCATTGTTTTTGCTTAAGTGGGTCATAAATAGGACTTTTTTTGTGACGTTGTGCACCAAAGCACAATACTCATATGCATATCCATATCCTTACTTGAACCCATAATCTCTAGAGTGGATCCTAAGCACCAACCATATGTCCATTAGTTGGAGGGCCCCAAATAGGACTTAATGGAGCTTTCATGATTTGGTGTTTAAACTCGTTTGTGTAAATAAAATAGACAGTTATCTAAAATCCATTTTAACTCATTAGCCCATATATTCCAACCCTTTAAATCCTATTATGAGCAATCCCTACGAGCCAATGAGCTGCCCCTATCTATTTGACAACCCTAAACTGAGTCCTTTTTATTTTTAGCTCATCTATTTGACAATCCAAACGAAGCCTAAATGCTATTTTTTTGTGTGGATATCCCTCATAATACTAATGCAAACGTTTTAAGATGGTAGCATTCTAAGTAGTTAAATCCCTTGAATTTTATCACGCTTGTATCGTGGATGCATTATTCTCGATGCTACTCCATAGCCTCCATACAATCTCTACTAGATTGATATGCGGCTATCTTGCTCTGTTTTTTACTGTAAATTTTCTTTGCGTGCATGAAGATTTGCTTGAATATGTTTCAACCTGCTGAGAGAATGTAAAATTTCTAGGGTTGGCCTCGTCGAAGTGTTACTTGGAATTCTTGATTGGAGAGCTGGGGGAAGACATGGTCTCTGCACTCAAATGAAGTGGAGTGAGTCTGAAGCTTCAATCGGCCGTGTTTTAGCAGTCGAGGTATGCATCCTACTAATTTCGAATGGCATTTTTCATAAAATTTGTTAGGGGAGCTATTAAGAATTACTTCCATTTGATGTCTTCTTTAATTCAGGTTCTACATGCATTTGCAACTGATGGTGCTCACTGTATCAAAGTTCGTGAAATCTTGAATGCTTCTGATGTAAGTTTCCATTACTGGAAAGTAATCACTAAATATCTCTCATCAGATGAACTTGTCTAAGCAAAATTTTAGTAGAGAAGGCCACCATAAATTTTCCAAAAATGTCTGGATTCTCATTTGACAGGTTTGGAGTGCCTATAAAGATCAAAGGCATGATTTGTTTCTTCCTTCCAACGCTCAGTCTGCCGCAGCAGGAGTTGCTGGTCTCATTGAAAGTTCTTCCTTAAGACTCCCTCATGCTATCACAGCTCCACCACCAAAGCCTGTGCTTTCAAGACTCCCTTCTACTGCTTCATCTGCCACTACTACCTACAATGGGAAGCAGGACTCCTGACTAATCCAAGAAATACGACCAATAAATACTAGTCAACACATCTGCTTGGTACATAATGTACAGTTTCTTGATTTTTAATCTTCAAGGGTGGGAGGGTTGATTTAATTTTAATTGTAAAAGCCTACCTTCTGTAGGCCTTCTTTTTTTGTATAATGTGTTTATAAATATATGTGCAACGAATAAGCAAGTTTGTTTTAGGGTGTTTATCAATCATGAAGGCAATTTGTTTGCGCTTTTAGCTTAAAATCTCTGGTTGGAGGACTTTCTCTTATTTAGGCTTCGTTTGGGACGGAGCTTTCTAGTATAAAAATTTTAATTTTTATATTAAAAAATTGTTTTATGAAACAGGAAGAAAACTGTCCCAAACAGGAAGAAAGCTAGTACAATTTACAGCTGATTACCCACCACTCGGCTTGCAAATTGGCCTGAAGTACTTGATGTGCCCCCTCAATTAAAGGAGCCATATTAACCTCAATCCTAATAAAACTTTGATGTTTTGGTTAGTTTGTTTCTCATAATTGAGAAAATATAGGCAATTCAGTTTCATGTGTTGGTTGCGAAATAGATTATTATAACTGGCTCGAGGTCGGAGTAAACCGACTAACTATGGTTGAATTAGGCCAAACCAGTAATGCTAGCCAATCAAAGATGATTATGGGTACAATTAAGGGGCATCTGCAACGGTAACGGAGGGTTTGGAGTGCATGGCTTCCTTTATTGTTAAGGAAAAGTCATTATGTCCGGAGTCTAGATCCCAATAAAAATGCGACACGTCTGATACCGATCTAGTACCGAGCGGTACTCAATATCACTCGATACTTAAGTGTAAACATGATGGTTTTTTCATCCGGTGTATGTACAGAATAATCTCTGATCGGTAAGGGCAATGAGGACACCTTGGACAGAAACCAAGTTGTGATGATAAGATTGCAAGGCATTTACTTTCTAGTTTTCAATAATTTTTTTCTTATAATTCTCATAAAAAATTCTTTTATATATATATATATATATATATAATTAGATTTCAAGTATATTCTAATACAAATTATATTAGGATATTCACACACAAGGGTGGTATTATATTGAATAGAATTGTTCATCCTTAAAATTGAGTTTTACTTATAAGAGAGCAATTTCAAAAATTTGCATCACACCTAATTTTTTTTTTTTTTTATCAAATCCTAAATAGTTTGCACTCATCCAGTCTTAATCTAATTTATATAGACCTAACCACTCATTATTTTTTGTGTGTATCTCGTTCATGATTGTCAGGTTATTGCTTGGACACTGCCTCTCTTGTGACTCACTAAAAGCTCTCGTCACTTGATTTTTTTGGGCGCCTTTCATCTGCTTTGCATACTCTCAAAAATAAAGTTGGTTCCGCCCCTGTTCAAACACAAATGTTTTTTAGCGATAGAAACAAGTTAAGACTAAATAAAAATGATGATAAATTGTGTTAGGATATCTAGATATAAATTTGTATTATTGTATAATACTAATTTCATGATAAATGCAATAGTATTGCCTAAGGGCATCTCCAACCAAAAAACCCATTTTTCACTCTAAAATATAGTAAAATTTTAAAATGGCATAATTCATCTCCAATCAAATTATATTTTTTTTTCTTCTTTCGCGCGCTTCCTGCGATATAACAATCTCTCTCCTCTTTTACGCGCTTTTCTTCTCTTTCGCGCCCGTCTTCGGAAAATTCGGCAACCCAATTTTTTTGTGTATGTGAACAGTCCGACGTCTTTATTAGTGTCGCATTGTTCACCTACCGAACTTTGGCATAAGTTTGGAGTTTGAATGCAGCGAATGACAAACGACATACAATGATATGCAGTTCGGTCGGAGAAGGTCTAACACACAAGATTGATTGGAGGATGGAGACGAGCTATCTATAATAGAAAAAAAAAAGTGTAATTAGTTCGATTACTCTGCTTGCAATGCCAATGAGGTCATCTTGAGATCTATGTGAATCCTCCTTGGAGATATTATAGGTTTAATTAGTTAATTTTGTACCGGCTCAAGCTTGTTTTATCTTAACCATCATAATTATCATTAGGTCAATGTGGATATTTTAATTGATATTAATTAATCATATTTTTTCCACAAATTATTAACAAAGCAAGCCACTGCAAAGCAAATGCGAGTAATTTGATCATGAACAAATTCAATTAAAAAAAAAAGTTAGTCTGAAGCAAATTAATTAATTATTTTATTTTTAACAACATTTTAACAAATATATTATACATGCAAACACTCATCAACAAAATAATTATATATATATATATATATATATAAACTTTTGAGTCAATTAAATCGAATTCTTGCACACATCACTTACACAAGCTTCGAATTTAAGACCTCTTGATTGATAGTCAAAGCTCCCGACCAACAAATCATATGAGTTGCTTATAAAATAATTATTAGAAAATTTTTTTATTAAAGTTTAGTTTCAAAATTTCTTTCCCTTTCCCGAGATAGAGAGATATTGGAGCTGAGATTGTAGACAAAAGACTTTAAATTTGAGAAAGGAGAAGAGCTTCACACTCCCTAAATAAATTAATAAAATAAATAAATAAAATTTGGCTCTACCTTATTAATTACTTTGGTCAATAAGCACTCTACCAAACAGAAGCGTATGTGATCCTTTTTATTTTGATCAATGAATCTAAAGAAAGTGCAGTTCAATTTTTCTTTCTTTCTTAGTGTAAAACTATACTTGATTGAAAAAATCTAGGTCATTTCCTCTATATGTAACATTCATTTGCAAGGCTAAAAATTAAAAAAAAAAAAGAGCAGCTTAATAGGTTGAATTAGCTGAAGGAGCATCTCAGCTTGGAAAATTTAAAAGGAGCAATACATTGAACAATTTGACACTTACAGAATGTGTCAAATAATTTAGGCGCACCTAAAATATATCAAATTGTTTGGTGGCATTCAACTCATTAAGATAGAGAGAGACAGGAGAGACGAGCTGATTGGATAGAGAGAGAGACGGGAGAGAGAGAAGTAGAGAGCTGTGTAGAGCCTAATGAGAGGTTAAAATAATAATGATAATTCAACATGGGAGACACATTTTTTTTTTAATATTAAAATTTTAAAAATTTTTAATGCAAATTTTACCGAAAAAATATTGTTAATTTTTATAAAAAATATAATATTTTCATAGAAAATATATTCTAATAATTTAAATTAACAAATTAATGTTTAAAAACTTATTTTATATAACATTAACAATTTTAATTTAACTTTGAGATTGATTAAACTTTACATGATTAGTAGTATTAATTTTGTTTTAATATGATTACAAATAAATTTAATAATATAGGTTATATTAGTTTTATTTAAAGCTTTTCATTTTGAAATTATCATCTCATATGGAAGATATTATTATTATTATTTTCTATTTATATTAATTATTAAATAGTTTAATTTATGTATATAATTATATTATTTAATTAATTGTTAATTTTTTGGAGTGAATGCAATAATTAAAAATTAAATTAGTTATTAGATATATATATATGATATTATTATTTTTTATAAGAAATATAAAAGGTTAAAATTTTAACAATGCATTTGATCAACAAAAATTCTGAAAATATATCGCGTAGAAAAATTCAAACCATCCGATTATCTATAATTTTAACTCAACTATATATTTTTAATTAAAAATAAATTAAATATTTATTTATTAATTTTTTATTAAAACAATTAAGTATAATGATTAACTATTAATGATATTTTAATTAGGATTATTTATTTTATCTAAATTTATAGAATAATCATTATTCTTAAATTTTAAATATTATATTTAATTTTATAAGTAAGATTATTTATATTAAAAGTTTCTCTGGAGTTGGATTATTTATTTATTTATTTATTTTTACTCGGTTAAAATTCCTTTACTCATTGGCCTCTCTCTCTCTCCAATTTCTCTCTCTCGGTGAGTTTAATGCGTGAAATATTTTGGCGTATTCATACTAATTGATTGAAGTATTTACTCTTCTTTAAATATTTAATCTTCAATGCTCCTGTTAATTTTATTTATTAAGCAGTTCTTTTTTAAAATTTAGCCCATTTTTAGCTATTCTACCGATGCATTACGAATCTAATTCATATGTAAGAATAATTTATTTTAGAGTGGAAAATGATTGATCTAAAGAGTGTTAATTAATTTGTTATGATATTGAATTTATTCTGAAAGATAGTTGATGCCACATATGAATAATTGTTTATTTTATAACTGTATTTATTTTCTAAAAAGAGTTGGTATCCGCGCCCTATTTTTATTTTACTTCGGCCTATCATACAGGTGGAAATATAATTGACAAAAAAAAAATTTCTTATTGAGTTTAATATTAATTTAATTTTCATATATTTTGATATTTAACAAAAAAGATTTTTTTTATTAAATTTAAATAAGAATTTGACTCTTAATAGAGTATAATATAGAAAAAAGATTCATTTAATTTACCGACCTCATATATAAGGACAAGTACTTGCTAATGTTGTTTGATATCTAATAAAGAATCATAATATTATTTTTCTAAATCTCTAGCAAATATGTTATTATTGTATTGGAGACAACTTATATTGATATTAAGTTGAATATTATTTTTCTCTCTTTTGTCTTTGTTCGCTCATATCGGTTCTCATTTTTTGCTCTTTCTCTTATTATCTTCTTCTACTCTTTTCTATTAAAATAATAATAATAATAAATATATATTTGCATAAAATCGAAGGAGATGGGCATGGAATTCTTGTAAGGAGAGATTATTACGTACGGAGTTTAGATTGGAGAATCATTCGGTTTTTATGAGTGTGAGCAGTAAAAGCATAGTTATTGTTCATCACTATGCATTTGTTGCACACACTCATAAAAATCGAACACAACTTCAATCCGAACTCCACATATAATAATCTCTTTCGGAGGAGGGCATCTACCTTCTTCCTCGTTTAAAATTGTCTTCAAGCATGCAACTTTTCAATTCTAAAACTCTTATTGTCAGAAGTTGACATTGACTGCTACCTTACATGCAATTAATGGCTTCTCACCAATTCATGACAGGAAGGACAAACCATCACTTATTCGTCTCTTCTCCCATGTTAGTGTTCTGAATCATCATCAATAATTAACTATTTAACAGCTCAAATCCTCACAGATTGCAAGGTTTGCCATTAAATCACATGAGAAGGCCAAGAAGATCTCTTCAAGGCATCTGCTTTCTTCCCTGCAA